GAAGTGGGTAAACAGCGTGGGCGCTGAGCTCTGTGGGGGCGGGTGAGAGTGACGCCGTGCCCAAGCGCAGCTGCGGCTGGTGGCAGAGGCTTGTCCCTAGAGACCGAGGAAGAAACTGAGGCTGGCGGGCAAGGAGCTGGCACTGTGCTCCAGGCCTGTCTGGCTGCTTGCTGGGTGGCTGGCACCCTCTGAACTCCTCCTTCTCCACACAGAGGCAGCCACGTGAGCAGCGGCTTCGTGCCGTGCTCCGTGCCAGGGATTGAGCCCCAGTTTTCTCCACTTCACAGCAGAAGACACCGGGGCTGAGAGTACCCAGCCTGCGGTTGCACGCGGCCCGGTGCCCTTTTCAGAGTCTGCTCAAGTCTCCGTCCCTTGCTCTTTGAGGTACAGGCTGTCTGAGAGGGCCTGAGGTGACTTCAGAGGTGACTGGGGGGTTTGCATGGGATGCCTTGTTCTTTCGTCCTTGTCCCGGTCCCGGGCGAGCTCCTACCTGTGAGGAGTTACACGTGCTGGTGCCGCAGGTGCGGGGGCTGCGGGGGTCCTGAGCTCTCACAGAGCCGTTGCCATCAGCATCCTGCTTTCACTGTGTACATCCCTTCCGCCTTTGGGCAGTACCTCGGGCTCAGGAGGGGGTGGCCTAATTAATCCTCTGCCTAGAGGAGGCTCAGCTCTGCTTAGCAGAGAACAGAGACCACTTGACGAGGGAGAAACGGGGCAGGGTGGGCTGTTTGATTTGTGGGAGGCATGGGGACCGTCAGAGACACGGTCCACCTGCCTCATTTTCCAGAGGACTCTGGGATGCAGAGTGAGGTAGAGGCCAGGGCAGCAGCGAGTCTCCAGGCCTCAGGGTCCCTTTCCCAGCCCTGCCACTTCCTGCAGTATCAGCGTGGGCAGGCTCTCTGAGTCCCGGCGCCTTCTGTGAGACGGGCAGCGAGTCTCCAGGATCCCAGACATGCACCTTCAGGCGGGCACCTCGGGCATTCAGCACCCGGTTCCCCATTGTGAAGAGGCACAGCCTGGTCAGGGCCCTGCAAGGCACGCAAGGCCAGGGGCAGGCCTTGGGTCCCTCTTCCTCACGGAGGGTACTGACTGATGGTCAAGCCAATGGGCCAGTGGCCGGGGCTGCTGCCGAGGGACAGGAGCGAGAGAGTGTCCAACGCAGAATGGGGGAGTCACTCCATTTGTCTGTGATTCTTAGGGACCTGCAAATGGGGGTGGTGGGTGGGACATTTCTGGGAGCCGGAAAGCGTCCAGGGGCCGGAGGGAGGGCGGTTGCGAGTGCCTGCCTAGCCCCCTGGCCTGGTCCTGCCGTGCCTGTGCTTTCCTGGCAGCGCTCACCCTCCATATGGCAGTTGCTGGAGGTTGGTGGCTGCGCCTGGGAGGCCTGAGACTGCTTCCTCCGCGCTGGGGGGAGCGTGCAGAGGGGTAATTATAGACAGCCTCGCTGGGCCAGCCCCAGCCAGCTCCCTCATTCCCAGTGTGGCTCAGCCGTGGGCTGGGAAGAGTGCAGCAGGCAGCTTGGAGGGGGTCAGTGGGGGCGGGACTGTCAGCTGTCACTTGCGTTGCCACCCAGGCCCTTCAGCAGGAGGTCCGCTGTGCTTTCCTGGATGTTGTGCAGGAGGCAGAGGGAGAAGGCTGGTCTTTTCCTCGGGGGCTTGCAGGCTTAGCCAGGAGACCACCCTTAGGTGGGCAGCACGAGTCCAGCTGAGCCATGCAGAGAGACAGCTTGGAAGAGTTGCAGAGCCTGGACGTCTTCTTTCTGGTCACTTTCCCGTTGAGTTAAAATGGGCCCCAAATCCTTATCCTGGGCTCCAGCATGGTGTGTTCCCTGCCTGCTCCTCTAGCCTCATTTTTTGCTGCTCCCTGCACCATAACCATCATGGCCCACTGCTCTTCCGTGAATTTGCCATGTGTGTTGCTGTCTTAGGGCCTTTGCACATGCTGTGGCTGTGACTTTTCCCTGCCTAGCATGGGGTCAAGGGCTGCCCGCCCCCTCCCCTGCTGCGCACACCCAGTGAGTTGGCTTGTTGATCCCTGTTTGGTTTTGGTTGGGGTTTTTTTGTTTGGTGTTTTTTGTTTTTTTTTTTTTTTTTTTTGTTTTTTTTTTTGGTACTGGGAATCAAACTCAGGACCTTGTGCTGGCCAGGCAGGCACTTGTGCCACTGAGCTATATCCCTGGCCCTTGATCCCTGTTTATTGAGGGGCAGGCCCTTCCCCTTTGCTTATTGCTCTACTCTCTACTGCCTGCTGCATAATAAATGCCCAGATATGCATTACCCAGGATCTGCCAGTTAAGCCTCTGCAAGTCACTTTCCCTCTTTGGGGACTTCCCTTCACCTCTAGCAAAGGTGATGGCACTCCAGAGGTGCACTCTGGTCAGCTTGCCTTGCTACAGCCGCGGCCAGGCCCAGAGTGTTCAGTGCAAGGGTTATGGCACGCGGGGGCCCGAGCAGGTGTTCATCCCCTGGCTTTTCCACTCTGCAGTCAGAACCGTTGATGCAGCTCAGGCTGGGATCAGAGCGTTTCAGCCCAGGCAGCTGACAAGCTTTGTGTCCTCTTTCCCTTTGAGCCCGGATAAACCTGGCCAGGCTGACGCTGCTCATTGCTGCTCACTGGCTTTGGGCCACTGAGTTTCTGCGCTGGGAGCCTGAGCTCTTTCGGAGGCCACCTGGGGTTGCACAGGACAAAGAGGGGAAGGGTGGGCCGGGCCTAGGGTGGGCAGGCCCATGATGAAAATCGAACACGTCCCTTTAAGAGAACGTTCTGGGAGCTCAGTGACAGAGCGCTGGCCCAGCGTGTGCAGTTCCATCCCCAGCATTGCAGACAAAGAGAGCATTCTGGAGGGAGCAGGGCCTCCTGAGGTGTTTTGAATTCTCCTGTACCAGGAGCTTAGGAATGTTCCTCACCTCTCCACAGCCAGGAGGAGCCCTGAAGAAGTCTGTTGGCCGCCTGGGGGGAGCTTGTGGGCAAGCGTGGAGGAGCACAGGGCTCAGTGCCACTTCCTGGGGACAGCAGAGGATGGACTGCATCTGAGGACGCGCGTTACCTCGCTGATGCGATTTGGACTCAGGAGCGGGGATTCTAGCCCCTGCCCGCCTGCCTGCCCCCACCTCAGCTTTGTTGGCTGGTAGGCCGACAGCCCCAGTTTCTCCTTACCAGACTCGCTCAGTCATCTGGATCATCTGGGTCCCCCAAATCCCAAGTACTTGGGAGGTGGAGGCAGGAGGATGGTTAATTAGAGGCTGCCTGGGCAACTTGGTAAGATCCTGTCTGACACTAAAATTTAAAGGAGCGGGACTGGAGATATCAGGGAGTACTTCCTGATCGGACGGGGGTCCCCAGTTCCAGGCCTACCGAGCACCATCTCCAGGAGTGGGCTGCATCCACAGTGCAGTATGGACTGTATAGCTGTGGTTGGCGTGGACAGGTGGCCAGGGCAGTACTGGACAGCTGACATGCATGAAGGGTGGGGGCAATGAAGATGATATGTGTAGCTTCAGGATGGGGAAGCACCCCCTTTTTCCTTTTTTTTTGGAGACAGGGTCTCACTGTACTGTGTAGCCCAGGCTGCCCCAAACTCACAGCAGCCTTCCTGCCTCAGCTTCTGGAGTGCTGGGATAACAGGTGTACCCCACCATGCCCAGCTCCTTTTCCCTTTTTAAAGAAATAACATAGCTGTTATGTCATTGTGGGAAGAAATTGGTGGTACTCCTGAGAGTGAATTTTACTGTCCTAATTATGTGGGTGATAGGACTTGGAGTAGTTACAAAAGACCACAGACTTCAAGATGTTGGTCTGGTTGAATTTGGGGTGGAATGGACGGAGCACATAGTAGGGACTTTTGGATTGAGCTGCTAGTGAAGCAAGAGGTTTGTATGTGTTGCTTGGAGGTTGAGAAACCAGGGTAAAGCTGCACAAAGAGAGTTCCTTTTGTTTTACATAAGCACAGGTGCCCCTGTGGCTGGCGGTGCAGCTCAGTGGTAGAGCATTTTCCTAGCACGCACAAGGCCCTGGGCTCCACCCACAGCCCCACAAAAATGTTAACAAATAATAATACCCTTGTATTTCTCTCAGGGTGCTCGCTACTGCACAGTTCTTTGAGGGTTGCTTTGCCTTTTAAGTAAGGCTGTGCCGAATATCCTTGTAATTTTCTGATTCATCTCATAGGGTAAATTGCTAGAAATGTAATTCAATGTGCGACTACAGGGTCAAAAATAAAGACTAATATTAAAATATACTTCTTCCTTGAGAAGATGAAGTGTGCAGATGGTAAAAACAATTAGACAGCACCATGAAGGCGCGCAGTGAATAAGTCTGCCTCCCACACCTGGCCCAGTGCTGTAAACTTCACCTTAGAGAAAAACGCTGCGCTAGCTTTTTGTGTTTATCTAGAAATATCCTGTGTTTATATAAACATGCGTGTTTCTATTCTTTTCACCCTCTGTTTTCCCCTTTTTTGGCACACAAGTGAGAGCCTTTTACGTTTACATCTTACGCTGGAATGTCTGCGTGTGGCTGGGCTGTGCTGCCAGGTTCCCCATGGGTAAAGGGCGGCAAGGACTTGGAGGAGCAGTGGCCGCATGCCAGGCGCTGGGGGGCAGCAGGGTGTTAACAGCTGGGCAGATCCCCCAGAATGCTCTGCGGGCTCTGGGCAGAGGCGCTGGCAGAGTGCCTGACACCCACTGGTCACCCTGCCGCCCGGGCAGGCTGTGCAAGAGGCTGCGGGGGCTGCGCGTGGAGGTCAGGAAGCCCCACTGAGAGCGAGTGGCCACCCCAGCGCGCCTTCAGGGAGGGCACCACAGCCGTGCTTCCTGTGCAGACTGTGCCCTCATGTGCAGGGCTGAGGGCGGCTCGGGAGGCCAGGGGGAGGTGGCTTCATAGGTTGTGGGGGACGGTGTGAGGGTAGGAACACATCTCCACTGTCACCAGGGTAGAATGTGTCTCTTTTTGATACCAGACGAAATAATCTCCTCATCTGTTTCCTTTTTATTTTTCCTCAGAGGCTCATCCAAAATAGAAGAAGCATGTGAAATGTACGCCAGAGCAGCAAACATGTTCAAAATGGCCAAAAACTGGAGTGGTATGTGCTGTCCGCTGCAGCGCTTTCTCCCCTCCCCGTCAGCTTCCCATCCACAGGCCTGGCTGAGGGCTAGCCCTGCGGGGCCCACCACCCACTCCCAGGGGGCCACCTGGCCCTTTGGTCCAGGTGGAACGGTGGAGATCAAGGAAGGACAGAAAGGGTAGAGATGATGCTGTTGAGTTCTGATAGACCCACGTGGATGAGCTCTTTGAGCGATTTCTCCCTGAGAATTTTGGGTTTCCTGGAAACGATTCTATCTTGTTTCCATCAGAGCCCAAGTTCTGGGCTAGGGGAACATGCAAAAGCTTCCAGTAATAACATTAATGACACCCAGCATTTATGGGCACTCTACTGAATATCTGTCATATGTACTTTAATTGACTCATCCCAGCTACCCTGGGGATAGCTTTCATATCCTCATTTTACAGACTGAGGCTGAGGCAGGAGGATCACTTTGAGTTTGAGGCCAGCCTGCACAACATAGTGAGACCTTGCCTCAAAAAAAACAGACTGAGAAGCTGGGGCCTGGCTCAGCACTTTGCCCAGGCTACCATGACAAGCAGGCAGCACAGCCAGGATTCAGAAACAGTTAGAATCTGCTCTCAGTGCTCAGGCACTTCCCCCGTGAGGCAGCTGGCTCCTCGAGGGCTGCACATGAGGGTCTCCTTGGGGGAGCCCATGGCCCAGGGAGAGCTATCGGGTTCCAGCACGCTGAGCCCAGTTAGTGCTGACTTCATAATGTGGCTTCCGATGTCAGCAAGACTGGGTCAAGGAAATGGAGTAGAAGACAGTTTGGGGACCCGGGGGGAGCGTTTTGGACGTAGGAGAAGAACATGGGGATGGGGCCTTGGAGGTGGGATGCAGAGGTGCAGGGTGGCCCCGGCCATCACCATGACTTGAGGACATCATCAGCCGGCTTCCTGAGAATTAGTAGAGCTTCCCCTGACATTCAGCAGAAGGCACTGTGCGTATGGCCAACTGCTGTGTGTATTCTTATGCTCCCGAGCTGATACAGGGCCTTGAGGGAAGGCATGCCTATTTTTCAACCGCATACATGTTGCTTTTCACCTAAAATGTGTTACTGTTTCCCCTTCAATAATTCCAACACAAGTCCTGGGCCACTTTCTCCCTGTTAGCATCCCTGTTTTTTGAAATGTAGGGCTCAGATTGGGAGCTCTCAATGAGATCACAGTGAAGCCCCAGAGAGGGGAGGCCCTGGTGCCTCCCAAAGCTGGTTTAGGAGACGCCTGGACAGAATGGCTTGGGACCCACAGAAAGTGACTGTGTGCAGATGAGCTCAGGGCAGGTAGGCACTTTCCTGCATGTACAGGAGCTTTGTGGTCCACAAGCCGTTTCCCCTGTGGATCTGGGCCCCAGCGTAGTGCTCTGCCCGCTCTGCAGCGCGCTGGATGCACAGGGCCTGAGGACTGGGCAGGGAGGGCGTCGGGGAGTTGCAGGGGCACAAAATAGGACTGGGAAAGGGGAGCAAGCGGACAGGGTTAGGTAACTGAGTCCCGTGTGCCCTCTTGCTGGGACCCCGTCTGAGCCTGGCCCTGTCAGCCCAGCTTCCACTTTGCCCTTAGTGGAGAGGATGGCCAAGCCAATGGGTGCTGGAGCCTCCTCACCTTGGTTTCATGTCCTCTGCAGCTCTCGGCTCTGCCCGCCTTGTCCTGGGACCTTTACAAGTGGTGGCCCTGGAGATGTTGGTAAAGCCAGGATGAAGGACATAGGCTCACCCTGGGGCTCCGGGTCGCCTGGGCCAGTCCTGACTGCTCCCTGGGCCTCCTTCCGTGTTCTCGAGATCCCAAGCCCCCTCCTGGGCAGTGTCCGTGCAGCCCCTGAAGCTGGGCCGCTCTTTTTTCTTCCAGCTGCTGGAAATGCTTTCTGCCAGGCTGCCCAGCTCCACCTGCAGCTCCAGAGCAAGCATGACGCAGCCACCTGCTTTGTGGACGCCGGTAACGCCTTCAAGAAAGCTGATCCCCAGGGTGAGGACCCCCGGGGCCACACACCGACCACCAGTACCGCCGAGTGTTCTCAGAGTCCTCAGGTGTCCGTGTGGCTGTGGGCTCTTCCCGTGGCCGACATGTGACAGGCTGGAGGCACAGAGAGCCTGAACTTGAGAGCTGGCACTCTGTCCTGCTGCAGTCCTGCTTCCCTCCTGGGGATGCGCAGCCGGTCGCTCCCCTCCCCTCCTGGAGCATTTGGGAGTGGGAGTTATATTTCAGACCCTCCGCCTGCCAGGGAGCGAGGCAAAGCTGTTCTGTTGTCAGAATTAACATGCAGAAGGGAGTGGGGGCGTTCAGAGACCAGCCAGGTAGGAGTCACTGCCGAAAAAGGAGCGGAAATTATCCTAACCTGGCTTCCCTATACCCTGGGGAGAAATCAGTGAGAATAGAGCCTCAGATCCAGTTGCCAGAGAACAAGTTCCGTAGATGAGAGCGTGCGGGGACAGAAGCTGCATTTAGAAGACAGTCTTTCCACCGGGCTCATCCCGAGGCAGAAGCCCAGCCTGTGGCCACCAGATACGGGGATTTTACACTTGATCTTAGCCAACAGGCCGAGAAGCGATTGATATGGGGATTTTATGAGGTGGGAATTTTGATGGATTGCTTGAGTGATTTTTTTGTGTGGTGCTGGGGATGGAGTCTAGGCACCTGGCATGTTGAGCATGTGCTCTACCACTGAGCTACATCCCTACTACATTGGGAATTTTGTTTTTTAAAATCTTAGGGCCAGACATAGGTTGTGACTTAATTTTAGCAAACAAGGACATATTTTACATGACCACCTCATGTCACTGTCCTCTCAGAGTGGAGAGCAGATGAGTATTCTTTTTAAAGGCAGTATTCATCTTGGAATAAAGGCCAATTCTTGCCAGGAGAGGCTGTTTTGTGGCAGAGCACAGGTTTCTCTGCAGCCCTGGAAACACTGCCAGCATAGTCGGGGCTCCACCATGTCCTGTCTGCAGATCACGCCTTAGCTGGCACCCTGTAGATGTGGGCCTGAGTGGTCATGTGCCGGGGCTTGGGCCAGACAGGCCCAGAGGGAACAGCCCTGTGACGGGCGGGTCACAGCAGACCTCGTGGGTGACTTGATGACCCAGGGTGACCCTGGGTTTGTTCTCGGGTGGAGTCACCCTAGGAGTCTCATGTCCTGTGCACAGCCTTTCCCCAGCCTTCCCTTTTGCTCCCTGGGGAACTGGTTGGCCTGGTGATGCTGCCTAGCATCTGTGACGCTCAGCTGCTGCCCCATCCGGAGTGACTGGAAAGACTTGTTTCTGGGGTGGCAGCTGCCAGGCTGCCTGGCGTGTGTGCACCCTGTGCTGTTCCTGCAGACAGGCCTGGCGTGGTATGGTTGCATCGACTTGCCCTTGACCCTAGAGTGCAGGATGGGCCCGGGTCCGGCATGGACCATAGTATGACAGAAGAGGCTGAGTGCAATGGAAGGGCATTGAGGCTGCCAGCTTGGTCGCTGAGCACTTGGCTGGGGGCCTCTCCGGGAGGGGAGGACACAGCTGTGAGCAAAGAGCCTGGCCACATCCAGCCCCGGGACTCCAGGTGCCCTCCCTGGTGACAGCAAGGCAGAGTGTGACCAGTCCGAGTGTGAGCACATTTGCATGGAGGTGACGGCTGCTTTGTATTTGGAGCCGGTCAGGGCGAACAGGGAGGGGCGCGGCAGTTGCATGATGTCCATGAGGAGTCACTTCCTTTCTTGAGCCTCTGTTCCGTCCTGGGTTAAAGCACAGCCCAGCCCTACCACGAGCCCATGTGCAGCATGGCCCCGTGGCCCCTCTGTGCTGAGGGTCCAGGGAGGTGCAGCCCCCCCTCCCGTAGCCTAGTGCTTTGTAAAGTGGGCCCATGTGGAGCTCCACCTGCCCGGTTTCCCCTAGCTGGGGTCTTCCTTGCTGGTCTCCTCCCCTGCCTGGACAGCCTCGTCCAGCCCATGTCCTCTGGGGTCTCCTGTGGGTCGGGTCTCCACCCCACGGTTGCACTTGCCCTCTGCAGCGGAGGTGCTAGCCCGTGGCGGCCAGTGATGCCCGTCCTGCCAGTGCTTCCTCAGTGTCCTCACCATTGCTGGCTGCTCCAGCCAGAAGGCCCCTTACCTGGACAGCCTGGTCTGTAGGGTGTGTGCGCCTGGGCAGGGAGTGGTCCTGCCCCACACATGCTGTCACTTGCTGGGGGCCTACTGTATGCTGGACTCCTATGTCTTTTAACACGCCCCACTTCCTGGTTCGGTTCTGTGACTGGTCCCTGCTCCATTGAGGAATAGGAGTGGGCTGAGTCCTGGCTGTGATGGGAAGGCTGCCGCTGGGCGCAGAGGCAGCTGGGTGCACTGTCGGGGCAGGGGTGACAGCCTGGGCCCCTGTACCTCCCCAGGCTCAGGCTGGAGAGCTCTCAGCGGGCAGACTGAGGAGGGCGGAGACAGACTACGGGTGCCCAAAGCCTGTTGACCTGATAAGCACAGTGGCAGTGAGTGTCAGAAGAGCGTCCAGGAGCTGGCTGGGGCGTCAGCTGGCCCCCTGCCACTTTCCAGGACAGCTGTTCCCGGAGCGAGGAGCTGGCACGAAGGAGCCTTAGCCCTGTAAATCTGTGTTCCTCCCCTGCTGGCGCTGCAGGGGCCGTGCCTCACTGACAGCGCCCTTGCTGGCAGGCAGACAGCAGCTGCTACTCTTCCTGGGGCGCAGCCTTTGCCACCTTGGCCCACAGAGGGCCAGGACAGGGAGCCCATGAGTGGCTGGGCCCCAGTGGGGGCTGCTACTGCTCCTCCCCCGAATCAGCCCAGTTGGCTGCTGGGCATCCTTCACTTCTTTTTTTTTTTTTTCATCCTTCACTTCTGGACCCTGCTGGGTTACAGCGCTTGTGTGCATGTGAGCGAATAACACTGTTCTGGACTCCTGTTTTGTTGCCATGTCCTCTCCATTTGCACCGCCTCTGCCTGCTTCACTCACACACACACACACACACACACACACACACACACCTATTGTCTTTTTGAGACAGGGTCTCATTATATAGTTCAGGCTGGCCTTGAACTCACTTTGTAGCCCAGGCTGGCCTCAAACTCATGGCAATCCTCCTGCCCCAGCCTCCCCAGTGCTGGGATTACAGGTGTGCGCCACCATGCCTGGCACCCCTTCCTTTTTTCCTACTGCCTCAGGGTCCCAGTTAAAAGTCCAGGGCCGTACGGTATGGTGTACATTCTTGGTGGCTTCTTTGGGTCCCCACAGGCTTTTCAGAAGTTGATGGAATTGACAGACTTCCAGAGCAGCACTCAGACCCCACTTCGTGCATGTACATTTAGGGACATCTGTGGACTCCCAAAGGCCCAGCCATGGGCCTGGCTCAGAGCCTCTGTTCAGGTGTGAGTTTGCTGGTGGTACTCGGCCAGGAGCCCACTGCAAGCAGGTGCCAGGCATTTGCTTCCTAGTGCCAATGCCGCCCTCCAGGCCCTCTGCCCTCTGCCCTCTGCCCTGCTTGCCCTCCCTCCCCAACAGCCTTCTCCTGAGATTCATTTAAATGGTATTTTTTAAAAATCCACCCTGAGAGCTCATTTCTATCTGCTAGAAATTGCCGCCCACTCATGCTTTTCTCTCCTCCAAATAACTTGTCAAAAAAAGGAAGCCTTTCCCAAATTGAGAATCTTGCAAGAGATAGCACAACAAAGGTAGCCAGCTCCTCCTCTCAGCCCCCTCTTGGGGTGCTTTTTGGTGAACCCTGCGATTGGAGCCGGAGGGTGGCAGTGGCAGGGCGGGGAGCACTGAGAACAGAGGACTGTGCCAGCCACCTGTGGAGGGGAAGGCAGGGCAAGGTGGGCAGGACGTGCACCCGCTGCCCACGCTGAAGGTCCAGGGCACTGGTGCAGGCCAGAATCTGCTCAAGAGACCTGCAGTGATGGTGGCTGCATCCAGGAGAGCCCGCGGTCCCTGCTGCCCCCAGGATGGCCTCACCTTGACCCTTGCCAGCGGCAGCTCTGTCCTGTGAGGGCGGGGCCTTGCCTAGTGGCCCAAAACGCCTGTGGGGAGCCTGGTGGTCAGTGCTTGCCGTTCCCTAGCCCCACAGCTGCTGGGAAGCTGGTGGCACGGAGGCAGCCCAGAGAGAAGGGCTCCCCATGAGGATGTTACCAGCAGGTCCTGCTGTTGACAGAAAATCCCTCTGACCAGTTTTCCTGGGCTTGGGGCTCCTCCACCTTCGCCCAGCCCCCGGAGTGGGGGCACAGGCGGCAGCCCTGCGCACCCGCCGCCCTGCATCTGCCGCCTCTCCGTCACTCTCGTTTCTCCTCCCTGCTTCCTCTTTTGTCTTCCCAGAGGCCATCAACTGTTTGATGAGAGCCATCGAGATCTACACGGACATGGTAAGGGGTCCTGTTAGCGTCCCTCACCTTAGCACCCCCAGTAGGGTTCTTGTTCTGTAGCAGGGCAGGTGGGGCAGTGGGAGCCTAGGAGAATTTGGCCACCTAAACTGGGCTTATGGCCCTTCCTTCCTGCACTGCCTTCATCCTCCTGGGCCATTGCGTTCGTGTGTGTGTGTGTGTGTGTGTGTGTGTGTGTGTGTGTGTGTGTGTGTGTGTTGCCTCAGCACTGACCCCTTGTCTGCCTTCCCTGCTATCTGAGTAGCGCTCCGCTCCAGGCTGGGTGGGAAGCTCCTGCCGTGGGCCACCTCTGTCAGCCCCGACCTTACAGGAGCACAGGCCCCTGCCCTTGCGCTGTGTTCAGAACAAGCGGTGCTGCAGTAATTGACCTAACAGCGGTAGCAGGGTCACTTTGAGCCAAACGCTGCGGGCAGTTCACTCTTCCTGCTCTGTGGTAGTCAGCTCCTGTGAGCCCCGTGGGATGGCTGAGTGGAGGAGTTCGAGGGGTTTGGCTTGCCCAGGGCGGGGCACAGGCCTGCAAGCAGGAGTTGCTGGGACCCAGAACTAGGTCTGGCTGGACAAAGGACCTTACCCTCTCCACTGCCCTTGGCAAGGAGTAAGCAGCAGGGGTAGAAGCCAGCAGAGTGCCGGGTGTATCAGGCCTTGAGGACCCCGTGGAGCACACGGCATGGGCAGGGGAGGCTTCGGGATGGGGCGCTGACCTGTAGGAAGCGGGCTCCACGGCCACAGGGCAAGTGGGGCTTGAAGAAACCCACGGCCCTGCTTTGTGGAGGGGTGGAAACGGGCCCAGGCACTGGGGGGCTGCCTACGTGGCTCACGCGGTGCCTGCCCTGGCGGCAGTCACCGTGCCCGCTCTGCGGACCTCACTCACCTGTGGTGAGGCAGGAGCTGAGGGGGAGCCATGGGCGGGGAGTCACACAGCCCCACCTCGTGCCCCCAGGGCCGATTCACCATCGCAGCCAAGCACCACATCTCCATTGCCGAGATCTACGAGACAGAGCTGGTGGACATCGAGAAGGTGAGCGGGCGATGGCTGGGACCAGGGCTTCCGCCTGGCCGTGCGCCCCCGGCCCCGGCCAGGCCAGCCCCTGGTGCTAGCAGAGCCTGGGCCCAGCGGGGTCCCAGGAGGGGCGGCTGAGGGTGAAGGAGGCCGCTCAACGTCCAGTCACACCTCGTGTCTCCCCAGGCCATCGCCCACTACGAGCAGTCTGCAGACTACTACAAAGGCGAGGAGTCCAACAGGTATCCCCGCCCTGTGCCCACCCCTCCGTGACGCAGGCCCGACCCGCTGCCACCTCCCCTCACGCCCCTCCTTCCACAGCTCAGCCAACAAGTGCCTGCTGAAGGTGGCCGGCTATGCCGCGCAGCTGGAGCAGTACCAGAAGGCCATCGACATCTACGAGCAGGTGGGCGCGGGCCCTGTCCTTCGTGAGCAGCAGCGCCGTGCCCTCCCCGTCTGTCCGCCTCTCCTGCCCGTCCTTGCTTCCCACGCATGGCCCTCACCTCATGCCCACCGGTCCACTCACCCCATGTGCCATCAGCACCCTCTCCCGGGGGCTGTCCTGAGGCCCCGGAGCAAGGCAGCCTTGCAGGACCCCGGGGCGGGGGGTCAGAGGAGGGTCCCTCAGGCTCGGCAGGAGGCAGGGGGCGTCACGCGGGCTGCCCTCTGCTGGGTGGGGAGGGGGCTGTGGCTGTGCGAAAGGCAGCAGCTGGCCCGAGGGAGCGGGGCGGTGCCGCCTCTCATGTTGTCTCAGCTGCCACCTCTCTGCCCACTGCGCGTCAGCCTCCCGTGGGGCCTGGCAGCAAGGTGCCGCCTCCCCGCCTTCTCAGGCACCTCGGGAGGCCGGTGGACACTTGGCTTCCCTCCCACACGGACCTGGCCCGGTCACTGGTGCTCCAGGCTCCCACCTGGGCTGGTCCCTGGCTCACTGCCCCAGGGTCCCAGCCTCATCCCAGGGTACAGACCCACCTTCCACTTGGCCCTCGGGGTCCCTGTCCGGAGCTCATAGTGTCACCTCTGCATGGCCACAGGTGGGCACCACCGCCATGGACAGCCCTCTGCTCAAATACAGCGCCAAGGACTACTTCTTCAAGGCGGCGCTCTGCCACTTCTGCATTGACTCGCTCAACGCCAAGGTGAGCGCGGCCCGGCCCGCTGCTCCCCTCCAGCCACCAGGCCACTTCTCACAGCCAGAAGGGCCTGCCTCTCCCTCCGTGTGGCCCTGCCTGCCGGCCTCTGGACCCGAAGCCCTCGCTGTGAGCACGGGATTCCATCCTGGTGTTCCCTGCCAGGCCCTGGAGGCTTCTGAATTCCCATCTCCCTGCAGACTCCACCAGTCCCCTTCCTTCTGCAGTTTTTAACCCGTTATCCCATGAAGGCCGCACCAGTGCCAGCCCATCTTGCAGATGGAGACACTGAGGCCAAGTTCCTCGCTGAGGCTGCATGGCTAGGGAATTGCAGCCTAGCGTTCCAGACCCTGGGACTCTGGGGCATGGCTGCAACTCTGACCTAGGCTGAAGCCATCCCCAAGCTCAGGACGTGGTGGGGGAGGTGCAGGGGAAGGCACCGGGGAGCTGCCATGGAGTCCGCTTGCATCTTAGTGTTCCCTACCCAGACCCCAGGGCTCTGCAGGGCCCAGGGCGCCCTCATGTCTGCCACCCTGCTCCTCTCGCCACCAGAAGGTGGCTGTGAGCTCGGGGCCATTAAAACTGGGGCAGATGTGCTGTAGATGGAACCGGGGTCTGGTCTGTGCTCGGCTCTGCTCCCCTGTTGAGCCACCCCTGTCCCTGAGCTGGGGTTTTGCACCCCCCAGTCACCCATGCCCTCTCCAGGGCTGTTTCCCCACCTTCAGAATGGGCTCGCAACAGTTCCAGCCCCTCAGGTCCTCGCGAGGGCTGAATGTGTGCAGTGCCCAGCCCTTGGCCTGGCACATAGGTATGCCCCTTTATCCGCTTCCCTGGCACAGACGGGTGGGGAGGTGCTTGGCACCTGCCCGGGAAACCCTCTCCCTCCCTGCAGCCGTCTCTGCAGCCAGCCGGGTGCTGAGCTCAGCCCCGTGGAGGTGCCGCCTGGCACAGCGCCAGGTGACAGCGGAGGGCAGCTGGCGAGGAGGGCGGAGTGCTGACTCAGGGCTGCTAGCCCTGCCCAGGTCCCGCAGCCGGACCGCTGTCTCCGGTGGCCCCGTTCCTAGCCTGTCCTCTTCCCCCCCCGCTGCCCAGCTTGCTGTGCAGAAGTACGAGGAGCTGTTCCCAGCCTTCTCTGACTCCCGGGAGTGCAAGCTGATGAAAGTGAGCAGGGGACTTGGGCGGGGGGACCTACCTGACCCCAGCATGGCGTGGGTGGCCGGCTGGGGCTGCCTGGGCTCGCGTTTGTCCCGCGGCTGCCCAGGGCTTGCATCTTCCTTGCTCTGCTTCTTCCGTCTCCCTGTTGTGCATGAGAACGGCAGATCCAGTGGCGGCACTAGGCACAGGGCTGGGCGGCTGGGGTTGGCGCCTGCGGGTGGCATGGGATGCCGACATGCGGCTCTGCTGTCCCTGCGGGAGCCCCGTTCCTGCCCAGCCCTTGGCTCTAACCCGGACCAGGCCTCTGACCCCCGGCCCTCACTCCCCGTGCTCTTTGCTCACAGAAGTTGTTAGACGCCCACGAGGAGCAGAACGTGGACAGCTACACGGAATCGGTGAGTGGCCGCGGCCGGCGGCTGGGTCCCTGGGGCAGGCTCCCCTCTCATGTCCTTCCTCCGGTTTTGTCCTTGTTTTTCACCTTGGGCCTCTGGGCCCTGGCTGTGCCTGCCTTTCCTCAGCCGCCCACCACAGAATGCCCACAAGCGGCCTCAGAAGGTACACGGTGCGTTCACTGAGTTTGTGAATGGTGCGCTGAGGCTGGGGAGGGAAGGCACCTGCCCTGCCCCTCGGGGTTCACAGCCCCACTACCCTGCCCCTGAAAACCACGGTCTGTGCACCCCCGAAGCCCCCTAGGGAGAGCAGCGGGCTGGCTCAGGTTGGACACTGTGGGTGCCCCAGGAGGAGCAGCAGGGAGTGGAAGGAAGAAAGAAGCCAAGGACTCCCCGTCTCCCCAGGGAGCCCTCAGCCCACCAATGTGCCCTCTCTCCTGTTCCTGCCTGTGTTCCGAACGTTGTGGAACCCAGCTGCGTCCAGCTCAGGCTGCAGTGCAGTTCTCCGGTCTCTTCCTGGCCTCCAGGAATTTAGGCCCCTGATAAAGACAGAACAACCTGTCACAGCCCACCGGCCCAGGGCAGCAGGGCTTGGGGGAGGCTGGGCATGAAGGGCTGGCCTCTGCGCCCCCGTCCCCGGGCATGAGGGGCAGGCTCTGTTGGCATCTCCAGCCTCTGACTCACCCTTAAACAAACAAAAAACAAAAGCTGCACTTTTTTTTTTCATTTTTAAACCACATTTTCCCCCTGAGGAAATGTTAGGCCCCTGGTAATGACACAAAAGGCAGCTTCCCCACTGGTGTTCCCATGCTCCTGCTTAGAGACCCAGGGAGACAGGGACCAGGAGCCTCAGGCTGCTGGGGCTGGGCCCATGGGGCTGGGGCTGGGTGCGATGCCCTCCGCGGTGCCGGCAGGTGAAGGAGTACGACTCCATCTCTCGGCTGGACCAGTGGCTCACCACCATGCTGCTGCGCATCAAGAAGACCATCCAGGGCGACGAGGAGGACCTGCGCTAGGCCGCCCATCCCCGCTCCGGCCGGCTGGTGTGTGCAGCAGAGAGGTGGGCTGAGCCTGCTGAGACCTCCCTCCTTCCCCACCCGGGGAACCCCGTGGGCTACCAGGGCAGTGGCGCGGCTCAGCAGCACCTCCGTGCCAGAGGCCGAGCCACTGGCCGGTCACCTCTGCTCTCGCTACAACCCTCGCCTCTGCCTATCTATTTAAGCCCCTAGTGGTGTCCTCCGCCCCCCAAATCAGCTGTAGGAGTCTGATAGAGACCTGTATGAACACTGCTAGGAGTCAAAGGTCAGCACCTGTCCCCAGCGCCTGATCAGCCGAGTCTCATGGCTGGTTTCTGCCCCCACTTTGGCCCCTGGCAGAGCTCTAAGCACAAGCAGCCACTGAGACCTGCTCTTGCTGCTGGGGGTGGCTCCCCTGCACCCCAGCCTCCTGCAGCCCCAGGCTCAGGTTAGACCACAGCCCCTGCACCCAGAGGGTTTCCGCAGACCCAGCCTGGGCTGCTCCTCCCTTGTGCTTGAGGTTTGGTCTGGAGATCGGAAGCTCCAGATGCCCCAAGAAGGAAAATAAAAATTGCCACTTTTGCATGAGTCTCTTCCTCCTTGCCTCTGCTCCCGGGCCCTGGGGGGCAGGGGACACATCCTCAGGACAAGCTTGGCCTGGAGACGGGCTGGGTGGGCCTGGGGTGGAGATGCAAGGCCCTGGGCCCGGGTGCCAGAATTCGGGGGCCTGGGGCCTTAGATTCTTCTGGATCCTGAGCCCCTGGAGGGTGGAGTGCGGCCCCACAGCACTGTTGGGTGGAGAGAGCTGGAAGAGGCCCGTGCCGCCTCTCCCTCATCCACGCTCCCCTGGCAGGCAGGCTGAATGCCCCAGTGACAGTGGTCCCATCTGTCCTCTGGAGGGGAAGCAGCTTTGGTGGGCAGGGTATGAGGCCTGGTGGGTGGGAGAGGTGGGAGGAGCCAGCAGGAACCCTTTGCCCAGCGAAAGTGGGCAAGAACTGGCCGGCCCAGCCACACGTCACCATTGGGTTGCCTGAGAGGAGGGCAGCGGGGACTCCCACTCCCTGGGCTGGGTGCCTTCCCCGAGGGTGTCCTGGCTGGAGGAGCCAGTGTCACAGTAGGCTGGGCCACTGGGAGGGGCTCCTGAGAGTGCTGCTCCCACACAGGAGCCCTTGAGAAGCTCCCATCCGCAGGACGGCCCGACCGGAACCCTGCCCTGCTCTGCTGTCCCTCTAGCCCCCATCAGTGGACAGTGGCCACTCAGCTCAGTGAAGCCTCGTGCCCTCGGGTGGTCACCAGCCAGTTGATCCCTTGGAACTGGCAGGCGACAAGGGTGTGCCCTCTCCCTGCAGGGAGGGGCAGTGACATTACTCAAGGTGGCAGGGGCCAGGGCCCAGGAGGCACACACACGACCTCCTGGAGGGTTCTGGGAAGAAGGGGCTGCTTTGCAGCCTGTCACCCCCACTCACTGTGGTACCCACAATGACCGGCTCCTGAGTCCCCACTTAACCCTGTCAAGTGGGACGGTGCAGCTCTAGAGCTCTTACAAGGATTCTGAGAATTTGTGACATGTGGCATCAGGTAAAAGCCCAATAAATGAACAGGGGGAGTAACAGCAGGTCCCTGCAGCGTGATCGTTTAGGAATCAAGAGCTGGAGCTAGTGTGACACCACCCAGGGACGCAGTAAAGCAGGTGGTCATCTGCCCCTGGCAGAGATGGTCGGATCTTTTCTTCTGGAGTAAAAACACTTCCCATTTGATTGCCATGAAAATAGTGGACTATAGAATTACCGTTTTGGGTTCCAATATCGATTGCTTCTTGCAGCCAGCGGCCTTAGGTAAGTTACTTTACCTCTGCACCTTAATTTCTTCATCTGTACAGTGCGTAAGATACCGACCTCTCAGCCTATGTGTGAGTTTTCAATAAACTATTGGATGGAACACGCTTAGCATAATTCCTGGGAGGGCCGGGGATGTAGCTCAGCGGCATAAGCACTTGCCTAGCAAGCTTGAGGTCATGAGTTCGATTCCCGGTACCGATTAAAAAATATATATATATATTTAAAATTGGGCCAGGGATATAGCTCAGTGGCACAGCGCCTGCCGCGCAAGCCTGAGGTCGTGGGTCCGATTCCTGGTACCAAAAAAAAAGTAATTTCTAGGACTATAAGGGCATTATTTTTGTGACTCTTCCTAACCTGCCTTCCGCACAGCCTACGTGGTAGCCATGACCTGCCACCTCTGGTAGCCCTGGCAGCCCCTTTGCTTGGCTCTGGACTGGGGAGGAGCACGCAGGCGCAATGGGACAAAATGCAATGGGCGGGCTGGGCGCCATGTTGTTAGAGGGCAGTGACTGCGGCTTCTTTGCGTCATCAGTCCGCGTCGGGCGGGCCTTCCATGGTTCAGATCATTTGTGAAGTTGGGGCCACGGCGTGACCTGCGGAGGGGCGTGATGGGAGAGGCGGCCGTGGCCGCAGGGCCTTGTCCTCTGCGGGAGGATAGTTTCACACGCTTCTCGTCGCAGAGCAATGTGTACGGGCTAGCAGGCGGCGCCGATGGGCGCGGGGAGCTGCTGGCCGCCACTCTTAAAGGCAAAGTGCTCGGCTTCCGCTACCAAGACCTCCGGCAGAAAATCAGGCTCGTAGCCAAGGAGCTGCAGTTCAACTACATCCCCGGTGCGTGGCGCCCTGGAGCCGGGGGGCGGGGTTGGATCATGGAATGAGGTGTTGAGGCCTATGAGGCCGTGTTGGAACCTAATCACCATGATGGGAGACTGGGATTGAGTGATTAAACAGAGGCAAAGCTAATAGTCATCGGGGTCGGGACAGGAATAATAGAGGCCAGAAAGTGTTTAGGGTTCAGGATTCCTGAAGTACAGAGGTCAGTGTAGGGCGTGGTGGTGCACACCTGTAATCCCGGCTGCTTGGGATGCTAAGGCAGGAGGATCACAGGTTTGAGGCCATCCTGGGCACCTAGAAGCTTAACAAGCCATCTCAAAATAAGACGTAAAGGGAGCTGGGGATATGCTCAGTAGCACAGCGCCTGGCTGGCAAGCGTGAGCTCCTGAGTTCGATCCCCAGTACAAAAAAAAAAAAAAAAAAAAAAAGATATATGTGGCCCACGCCTGTAATCCCAGCACTTGGGAGGCTGAGGCAGGAGCATCATTGCGAGTTCAAGACCAGCCTAGGCTACATAAGTAAGCTCAAGGCCAGCCTGAACTGCGTAGTGAGACCCTGTCTCAAAAAGACTAAAAAAAAAAAAAAAAATTTGGGAATGTAGCTCAGTGCAAAGGCCCTGAGTTCAGTCTCTAGTACCACAGAAAAGGGGCAGAGGGGAATCCCAGTAGCCACTGGTCACAGGTCATGGTGATGGTGATCAGTGATCAAGTCACCATATGAGATGCCAGAGGCCCCAAAACCTGAATTATGAATTGTCCCTTTTCAGTGGATGCAGAAATTGTCTCCATCGACACCTTCAACAAGTCACCCCCAAAGCGAGGCCTGGTAGTAGGGATCACGTTCATCAAGGTACTGAGGGCACCCTCTACTTACCTGGGCCCTCCTCCCTACACATGGGGGTCCCACTAGCCTGCCCCAGACGGCTCTTGCTCCCCTGAGGCCACTTTCCTCCCTCAGGATTCAGGGGACAAGGGCAGCCCCTTCCTTAACATTTACTGTGACTACGAGCCTGGCTCTGAGTACAACCTGGACTCCATTGCCCGTGAGTGTGGCCTGGGGCTGGAGGGTGGGGGCGGGGCCTGGCAGGCGCCAGCTGCCCACTTGCCTGTGTCCCTCTGCAGAGAGCTGCCTGAACCTGGAGCTCCAGTTCACGCCTTTCCAGCTGTGCCATGCCGAGTGAGTGCCCCTGGCCCCCTGCTTCTCAGACCCCTTCTTACACCAGCCGTCTCTTTCCCCATCTAGAAAATAAAGCAACCGTACTGGGCCAGGAATTGGAAGCTAGAATGGCTATAGAGGTCAGCAAGGTAACAGGAGAAAGGGAAACTCCCAGTGCAGTAGAGTAGGGAGCATGGGGGGGCAGTGCTGTAGCAAACGGAAGACCACATCTGCCCATAGACAGCCAGGTTCTATTGTTCCCTGTTAGAGCCTTGTGCTTCTAAAGTGAGTGTGGGCCAGATAGCCAGGGGACCCCCATCTTGTCCTCTCCAAAGCATAATCTGAGAGAGGTCACTGAACCCCTGTGTGCTAGACACCTGGAATTCGCAGATTCTAAGGTTCTAGATTCTGACATTCTCAGATCCAGAGATGCTGACAGAGTTTTCCTTCTTTTTTGTTTCTGTTTTTTTGAGATGGGGTCTTGCTATGTAATCTAGGTTGGCCTCAAACTAGCAGTGATCCTCCTGCCTCAGCCTCCCAAGTGCTGGGATTATAAGTGTGCATCACCAGGCCCAGCTGTTGAGTTTTGTAAAGATATAAGATCTAAGACTCCAAGATTTGAAAGTTCTACAATTCTATAGAAACCAGAGTCTTCTGTGATTCTGTATAAGGTCCTGCCGCCCTGGTACTGCAAAGAGATAGAGTAAAGACTGTCTAGAACCCTGAAGTTCTAGAATTCCAGCTATGTGGTTCCACTCCAGGGCTTATACAACACTGATGGTCTAACAAGGCAAAGTTGGCAAATGTTTTTTGTGGGGGAGAAAGATGCAAAATCTTTCAATAAAGGGCCAGGTAGTAAACATTATTAAATAGTAGGTTTTGAGATCCAGATAGCCTCTACCACACCTACTTAACTCTGCCATTGCAGCAAGAGGGCAGCCGTTGATGCTGTATAAATGCATGCGTTCCTGTAAAACTTTATTTACAAGGGGCTTGGGTGTAGCTCAGTGGTAGAGTGCTTGCTTACCATGTGCAAGGCCCTAGCTTCAATCCCCAGCACGTAAAAGAAAAATTTTATTTGTAAAAATGGACAGCAAACCCAGGCATGGTGGTACACACCTATAATCCCAGCAGTTGCCCGGTGTGGTGGCACACGCCTGTAATCCCAGCACTCAGGAGGCTGAGGCAGGAGGATCACTGCAAGTTCGAGGTCAGCCTGGGCTACAAAGTGAGCTCAAGGCCAGCCTGAACTGCATAGTAAGACCCTGTCTCAAAAAAAAAAAAAAAAAAAAAAAAAATCCCAGCAGTCTGGGAGTGTGAGCCAGGAAGATCACAAGTTGAATCCAGCCTGGGCAATTTAGCAATTAGTAAGACCCTGTCTCAATTTTTTTTTTTTTTTTTTTTTGGTCTTTCTGAGACAGAGCCTCACTATGCAGTTCAGGCTGACCGTTTCCTTACTTTGTAGCCCAGGCTGGTTTTGAACTTGCGACGATCCTCCTGCCTCAGCCTCCTGAGTGCTGGCATTACAGGTGTGCGCCACCATGCCTGGCTATATTTTTTTAATTTTTCAAAAAGGGCTGGGGATGTGGCTCAGTGCACACACCCTGGCTTCAGTCCCCATTGCCAAAAGAAAGGAAGGGAGGGAGTGAAGGAGAGAAGGAAGGAAGGAAGGAAGGCAGGCAGGCAGGCAGCAGGTTGGATTTGGTTTGTGGGTCCTAGGTCACCAACCTGTGGTCTAGCAGATGAGTTCTGAAACTGGAGATTGTGGTGCGCTGGTGTCCCAGGTGCTAGGCTTGGGATGTTCCACAATCCCGAGTCTCCCGTGTCCATCATGGCAGTTTCCAGAAGTTCCAGTCTTCCAAAGGAGACCAGACAGAACTTGAAGAAGGCCGGTTTCTGGATCAAAGAGCCCCTCACATGCTGAGGTTCCAGCAGGGGCTGGGGCGTGCCGTGTCCGTAGCGCGAGGGAGGCAGCCCTGTGAGTCCACGCTGCTGTGTCCCGTGAGTGCTCCCATCGGGTGCGTTTCAAGGAGCCAGAGTACTGAGGAGCTCGGGTGTGAGGTCCTGGAGCTGGATCTGCTGTCGGAATCCTGGACGCTGGGGTTCTTGTGGGCAAGCATTTTTGCAAGAGGAATTTCTAAAATACATGGACTCAGCCACACTCCGGTTCTTCCGCATCCCAGATGTCTCTGCTTTCAGGGTCCAGGCTGGGGATCAGCTGGAGACCGTGTTTCTCCTGAGCGGGAATGACCTGGCCATTCACCTGTACAAGGAGGTGAGCTGGGGCACAGCCCTCCTGGGGGCCGCCACGGCTGGCGCTCGGGTGCGGGCATGAGGCTGACGGCTGACTGACTCTAGGGGCTCAGGGTGGGTTTTGTTCCCCCAGAATGAGGGGCTGCATCAGTTTGAGGAGCAGCCCGTGGAAAACCTCTTCCCAGAGCTCACGAACCTGAGCAGCAGGTAGGAGAGGCCAGAGGACCACGGCTGCAATCCAAGAAATCAGGCCGCAGGGTCCCTGGGCTCCAGGGAGGGCGCGGTGCTCCTGAGAAAGCAGTGGCGTGGGCCCGAGACCCAGTAATGGTCCATGTTCCGTCCATCTGTCTGTCCACCCGCCCGCCCGCCAGTGTCCTCTGGCTGGACGTCCGCAACCTCCCCGGCACGCCGCGCCGTCTCTCAGCCCTTGGCTGTCAGAATGGTTACGTCCGCGTTGCGCACGTGGACCAGCAGAGCCGAGGTGAGGGCCAGGCCTGGAGCTGGGGGTCACAAGCAGGGACTGAGAGCTGGGGCCGGGGCCCTGAGTCCTGGTTCTCCACGCAGAGGTTTTGCAGACCTGGACAGTCCTGCAGGACGGACCCATCTCCCGCGTGATCGTGTTCAGCCTTGCGGCGCCCGAGCGTGAGTCCCGGGCCCTGGAGTTGAGCTTCGGCCTTTCCCTTGCTGGTCTGACCTTCACTTCTCACACAGTGACTCTGTCTGACCCCTGCTCTGGCCTCCTCGCTCCCGTGGGCTGACCAGCATCCAGCACCCACCTCCCCAGGGGGTGCTGCTTCCTGTTCCCCCCAGTCTTTGACTGACATCGCCTTGATTTGATCTCTGCTCCCTGACACTCTGTCTTCCGCCCCTTCGGCTGCTCTTTCCTGTTACTTCTCCCTGTGCTTTATTCCCCAGCCGCGTACTGCGGTCTAACCTTTGGCTTTTCAGCTCTGGTCTCCCCCTTGGCTCTCTGACTGCAGTCTAACCTCAGACTTTCTAACCTGCTGTCTGACAGCTGCTTCTCCTTCCCATGTTGGACCGCAGTCCCTTCTCCTGTGGTCTAACCTCTAATCCTCCCTGGTGTGGCACATCCTCAGACCTTTACCCTGAGGTACGACCTGCGTTCCTCCCACTAGCGGGGTGAGGAGGGGCCTGGAACCTGTCCCCTCCAGCCCATGCCCTCCCCAGTCATATTTCATCTGCAGAGGCCGGGGACAGGCCCCAGCAGGAGGAGTACAGCGTGCTCGTGGCCAGCATGGTGGAGCCAGCTGTGGTGTACCGGTGAGGGACTAGGTCTAAGCTGATGGCTGTGCACCGAGGTTAACCTTGTCGTTCTGGGCGGGAAATCCCTTTGGGTGAGGTTGGTTCAAGGTGGGCAGGAAAAGATGTCTGTGACCCTGGGAGAGGGCCTATAATAGTTAGGCCTAGATTTTGGCAGGAAGGGTGGGAGGAGAGATAGCCATGCCCCTGGAGAGGGCAGCTTCCCCTGTGTGGGAAGACCCAGGCTTTGAGCGTTGGCCAGTTCCCGTGATATGAACTCTTCCAGCACGGTGGATCTCAGCCTACCCACACGGTGCCCTCAGAAAATGCCATCAGAGACATCCGACTCTGAGCTCTCCGCAGCCCTCACGGGGTGTCTGTTCAGGCTGGGGCAGGGGATCCCCAAAAAGAACAGTGTACTTTCCACTTGAGAGAGAGGTGGCCTGGCCTCCAGGGGGTGGTGCAGGCATCCAGACTGGGGACCAGGGCCCTGGACACCCCAAGGGGAAGGGTGTGGGACCACGAGGCTATCCACAGTGGAGAGAAGGAAGCCGAGGCTGCAGGAGGATCAGTGCATTTAGACCTGAGAAGGGTGGCAAGATGGGTACCCGGCTCACGTCACCCTACGGTCTGACCTCAGTCTCCCCACGGTGCTGGGATCCCTTAGGCACCTGCTGAACCGAGGCCTTGAGGACCAACTTCTCCTGCCCGGCAGTGACCAATTTGACAGCATTCTGTGCGGCCTGGTCACCGATGTGGACCTGGACGGACGGCCAGAAGTCCTAGTGGCCACCTATGGCCAGGTGCGCTGTGAGGGATGCACCCACCACGCACACCCATGTCCCTGCACCGCCCCCCCAGCCCGTGTGACCGTGAGCCTCCCCTCTGCAGGAGCTGCTCTGCTATAAGTACTGCGGCCCGGAGTCGGGACGCGCAGAGGCGGAGCATGGCTTCCGCCTGCTGTGGCAGCGGAGCTTCTCGAGCCCCCTCCTGGCCATGGCGCACGTGGACCTGACCGGGGACGGGCTGCAGGAGCTGGCTGTGGTCTCCCTGAAGGGGGTGCACATCCTGCAGGTAACTGGGATCCCAAACAGCCCTGTGCACTGCTCCCGTGAGGTTGGGGGGGAAGCGAGGGAGCCAGGCCCGGAGATAGGCAGCGGGGTCCAGGCAGAGGCCACTCCCAGCAGCCAGGGCGGGTGGGGCACCAGCCTGGTAAAGGAGATTTCGATGCCACTTCCGTTACTCCCACCCCTGGCGCCCCCTCAGCCTCCCCAAATTCCCCTTGTCATTCTAGTCTCGGACTTGGGTTCTTCTTGCCTCAGCCTCCCAAGCAGCTGAGGCTGAGACGCTCACACTGTGCTGGGCTTACATTGTGCGTCTTACCTTTCTCTTGGAGCCTGACCGCCAGCCATTCTTCCGGAGCCGGCTTGCAGCTTTCTGCTGAGTCTAACCCGGACCCCTTCTGCTTTGATCTGCCCTCTAACATTAAGGTCAAACCTTTTGCTCTGCTTTGACTTCTGAGCCTCCCCGACCAGGCTGAGGGCTGTGGTTGCGTTCAGATGCTCCAAGTCCAGCCTCAGACGCTCCTGTGCAGTTTCTCCGGCACCTGCTGCCGTCTGACCTCCGACCCTTTCCACCGTGGCCCGGGCCCCACCCCTACTCGGTGCTTGCATCCTCCTCCTCTCTGACCTGACTCCAGGATCCTTTTTCTGGTGTGGTCTAACCTGGGATTTTGCTGGGGTTTCTTTCACCTTTCCTGCTATCCCCTAGTCTTTGCCTGGGCCTTTCTCTACACTGTGATCATCAGGACAGAGGTCTCCATGGGACCTCAGGAGAAGAGAAAGGTTTGAGGCTAGACCCTGGTGGAAGTGCTTGAGGTTAGAGCCAGTAAAGAGGGCTGAGGTTAGACCCTAATAGATGGCATACAGGTTAAACCACAGGGGGAAAGACCAGGAGAAGGGGCCCCGCCCACCAGGATCTAACTGTCTCGTCCCTTGTCACACTGTCTTGAGCCATTTCACTGTCATCTCCTTTCTCCCTGTCCAGTGAGGTCTAACCTCAGACCTTCTAGCTAGAGTCTGACTCTGTCCATCAGGCTTTGATCTGTCCCTTCCCTGCCCTGTTGGCCTGTGCTTTGCTGCTAGGGTCCCACCTTAGTCCCCGCCCCACCGGGGTCTGTGCTGTCACCCTCCCCAGTGGGAACCTCAGTCTAACTTCTCGGTTCGGCCCATCTCCACCCTTCCGCTGACATCTCTCCGGGCCTTGGCCCCGGCCCAGCCTTCACCCTGTCTCAGGGCCCCTTCCCACCCAACACTGCTCTGCTGTCTGCCCTCCAGCCTCGGCTGAGCTCCTGGCTTGGGCTGCCCTGCTCCGGAACCCCCTGCTTTGGTCTGACCGTGCCCCTCCCTCTGTCTCACCTGGCTCCTCCTCCTTTGTTCCCCACAGCACAGCCTGAGCCAGGCCTCTGAGCTGGTCCTCACCCGGCTTCAGCGTCAAGTGGAACACAAGCGACGGCAGTCACAGGGACCCGGGGACCGGCTGGGTCCGGGGCCTGCCGAGACCACAGCCTCCTGAGCACTTGCCCACCAGTCTGCGTGGGCCTGGGTGGTTCATTGGTGGGGATCGATGTCCCTGAGAGGGGGGCTCTCCCAGGGCCCCCCACTGCGGCCCTGCTAACTCACTCCTCTTTCTCTGCCTCCGTGCCCCTATTTCCAAATGAGGTGATCCCACCCAGCCCCCTCCATCCCAGGGAGTGTTGGTCGGATGACAATTATTTGTGTCCACAGAACGGACCATCCCAGCTGTTTGCTTTCTTCTGTTTGCCAGCATTTGTTGAGCACCTGCTGTGTGCCCGCTTCTGTGTTGGATGTTAGATTGGCCCAGAAGAATGGAGGGAGGAGGAGGGCTTGAGGGAGTCCAGGGTTAGCGCTCAGACCCAGGGACAGGGCAGAGGTGAGGTCCCACAGTAGACCCCAGAGGAAAGTAACGGGGTGAGGCCTTAACAGGATGGCGGAAGTTAAACTGCTGTGGAGGATGTGTGGTGTCAGCACAAGGTCTCAGCTGAGACCAGCGAGTGAGTTGAACCCAGTGGAGAGAGCTTGGGTGGAGAAGTCGACCCCTTCGGGACCACTGAGACTTCCCAAGGGGGGAAGTTTGAGACAGATTCTAAATTGAGATCCCAGCAGGGTGCGCTGAGGATGGACCCCAGTGGGCAGGGCTGAAAATCGGAGCTCAGAGGAAGGCTGTGAACAGCAAGGACCGCTGGGAAAGGCCGTGGTCGGGTTGTGGCTAACACTGAGGTTGGACCCGCAGCAAAAGTTACTGTGGTTATCCGGATGTGCTGGCGCACGCCTGTCATCCCAGCACTCGGGAGGCTGAGGCAGGAGCACTGCCATGAGTTAGAGGCCAGCCTGAGCTGCATAGCGTGACTCTCAAAAAACAAAAAACGAAGGAAGGTGGGTGACTGTGGTTAGACCCGAGCGGTAGGCCAAGGTTAGACCCCACTGCAGAAGAAAATGACTGAGTTTAGGTCCCAGTGGGAACTGGTAGGACCCAGGATGTGCTGTGCTGGAAGGGGTGAGGTGAGACCTCATCTGAAAAGCCCGGAGCTTTGGAGAGCGGAGGACTGGACCCGGCTGGTTTCCCCCGCCTGAGGCTACAGGCACTGCCCACTCTGGGAGTCCCTGCTCGGGAACCAGAGGGAATCAGAGGGCTGTACCTCAGGGACCAGCAGAAGCTGCCAGTGACAGAGAAGTCTCGTCCTCCCCCGCCACAGGCCAGGAATAGAATCCGGGTCAGCAGGGTTGGGGAGCGGATCCTGAGGAGGATCCGGGCCAGGGCAGGGACACCTGTTTCCTGGGGGTGGGGGGGCCAGGGTCACCTGGCCGTGTGTCTGCCTCCCACCGTGGAAGTCTGACCACCTGCGCTGGCGGTGAAGATGCAGCCTCCGCCTCTTGGCCAAGGGTTTTAGGGAGCTGGGAGCCGACCAGTTCTTGGCCAGGCCCAGGCGTGGGAAGTCGCAGGGAGCTGGGTCCTCTCCCTCCTGGCAGCCGGCCCCTGGGTACCCAGCCAGGAATGGCAGCCGGCACGGGCTGCTGGCATGAGCAGGGTGTGCCCCACCACACCACCTGCCTGCAGAGACGGGTGCTCCAGGGCAGCTCCAAGCTCCCTCACCTGTCCTGGGTGGGCGTGGGGACCCCATGGGGGTCTGGGTTTAGAGTGATGGGTAGTCCATGATGTGTGCCCCCCCCACCGTGCATCCGTGTGTCCCCTTCCGGGCTCTGCGCTTGTGTATTCCGGAGCCCCTGCCGCTTGCCAGGGCCTTTGCAGTTTGCTTTATGACTTCTGGCCGTCTCCCCCTGCGGCCATGTGGTGGTTCAGAGTGTAGGGGCTGGAGCCACAAACCACGGGTGCGGCAGTCTCCCCACCTGTAAAACAGTAACTGAGGTTGGCGGGAGGGTTGGTTGTGTCAACACGTGTTAGGGGTTTATTAAACCTGCCCCCCCACCCCCGCTCCGGTGCCTGGCCCTAGGAGAGGGCCGTGCAGCTGGCAGCTGTTCTCCCGGTGTCCGCCGGGCTCATCGAGCCGGCAGTGTGTGAACTTGGATCTGACTCCGGCCCAGCATTCTTGCCCTCCCCCAGCCCTGAGAGCCTGGAACTATTTGTGGCCCTTGTATGGGTCGGAGACTCGGCCTGGGTGTGTGCGGAGGGGGGCCGGGGATGTCTCTGGCACACACACCCAGGCACACGCACAAGCGCGGGCGCCTCCGCCGCTGTCCCCGGCCCTGGTGCTGAACCCGAGGCCGGGTCGGA